ACTTTTTCACTTTATTCGATAGAAAATAACACTCTGAATAAAATGATATATCATATATCAACTTTTGACATTTTTGCATATGGTTTATTTGAAATTGTAACATGCGGTTCATAACGATAATTTGACTCGAAACACCAAGTGTGTGGTACCAAATTATTCGTAAAAAGTGCTTTTTCCAAATATGCTAATAAGCCACCCTCGTTCCATTTGAAAAAAATAAGTTATGACTAAAAATACGATTTGGGCATCTTTTAACTGGCCAGGACAAGACACTAAAAACATTAGAAAATTAATTAATCTATTTTTCCAAGGCGCCTAGATTAAAAACTAGTGTTTTTAACACTCTGGATTGAAATTTAAAGTACGATTATTTTGTAAGCAAAGATGTCAAAAGTTCACATATGATATGTCATTCTATTTAGAGTCATTTTCTATCGAATAAAGTAAAAAAATACCGAGCGCGCTATTTAAAAATCAAAAATTGTAGTCATTTCCGGTGAAACAGGAAATGACAGAAAAAAATGGAATATGTCAATCAGTCCTAACTAGGGGTGAGCCACTTTTGTGACGCACCTGGTATAGATAGATCTTTGATAGATAGATAGATAATGCTTTATTTATTTCCTTATTGTACAATACAAAAAAACAACAAAATATATTGAAATAATATCATTAAAAAAATAACTGCATATTCCAAAAGAAAAAAATTAAACTGTATAAACAAAAATGAATATTTAATATTAAAATTAAATATGAAATACTTACTTATAAAAAGTAAGTAGTACTTAATATGTTTATGTACCATACGAATTGAAGAAAAATAACGTCAAAGACGGCTGGGGAATGAGAATCGATCATAATTTTTGGGGAGGTCAAGCCCTAGACACGGCATTTACTTGGTCCGTATTATTCTTTACTTTTAATGACGCTTAATAAGGTTATAAATTATTTTTATATTGAGTAAAAATAATTATTTGCAAAAGTGTGTCTGGAAACGTTCTAATTATTCTATAAATATTTATAAAACTACAATTTATTGTAAAAATATTTTTGCGTCTTCTTGAACAAAATAAAAATATTTTTAAAAAGTACAGTAGTATTACCAGCACATTAAACAAATATCTGAAATAATCTAAGTAAATTTTACAATAGGCATAGGCCTTCACTGAAGGAAAAGATTTTATTCTTTAAGGTTGATTCTCACTATACCTTCCATATCAGCTTCCTTCCGTTTCCCTTCCGTTTATCTATACTAATATATAAAATCCTAAGTGACTGACATACTGCTTAATCACGATCCTACTCAAACCACTCAAAGAAGCTCAATTTTGGCATACAGTTATACGGTTGATTCTAGGGTGTAGAGGTTCGATAAGAAGGGATTTTTCGAAATTCCAGTTCCAAGAGGGTGAAACCACCCCTCAAATATTACAATATATTTTATTTAAAAAACGGTCAAGTTTAAATTAAAATACGCTTAAACACGTATATTTTATTTTGTTTTTTTTACATATTTTACGATTTTTTAAAAATGTATACAAGGTGTTTCGAAAAATCTAGTCATTGATTAATCACGATCCTGCTTAAAGCGTTTGACGTAAAAAGCTGATTTTTGGAAAACAGATTCACTTTAGGGTGTAGAGGTTCGATAAGAAGGGATTTTTTGAAACTCGAATTCTAAGGGGGTGAAACTATCCCTCAAATATTAAAATATTTTTTATTTAAAAACCGGTGAGTTTTTCGGAAAAACTCTTAAGCACGTATATTTTATTTTGTTGTTTTACATATTTTAAGATTTTTTTATATATTTATACGATTCTGATTAAACTGCTTGACGTTTAAAGCTGATTTTTAGCAAACGGATTGACTGTGGGGTGTAGAGGTTCGATAAGGAGGGGCTTCTCGAATCTCAAATTCCAATAGGGTGAAAACGCCCCTCAAGTATTACAATATTTGTTATTTAAAAAACGGTTAGTCTTTCGGAAAAACGCTTGGACAAGCATAATTTATTTGGTTTTTTTACATATTTTGAATTTTTTTAAAAAATCATACAAGTTGTTCCAAAAAGTTGGGTAATTTCTTAACCACGATTCTGCTTAAACTGCTTGACGTAAAAAGCTTATTTTTGGCAAACGGATTTTTCGAAAGTCAAATTCCAACGAGATGAAACTACCTCTCAAATATTACCAAGTTATATAATAATATCGCCATATTGTTTTTTCTCATGCTGACATAAATGTGAGAAAGTTTTATCCAGTTTGTATGTTAATGGAAATTCTTGCTTTGCTTTATCATCACCATTACTTTGACCATTAGAAATGATTAATTCGACGACGCGAACGAAGTCGCTGGTACACGCTAATATAAAATATTATATCAAGTAAATGAAAAGGACAACACACGCTATCCGTTCCGTTTCCCTTACGTTCCATGTTCCATATCCTTTCCTTTCATACATTTTTTTTGGCGGACGGTCTGAAGCGTGTCGGAAACAGCGTTGTCAAGTTCTTACATTTGTACCAGCTCTGCTAACATTTTGCTGATATTTATTTATTCTTTCACCTCTTAATTAAATCTATTACCTTTTTCAAAAGATACAAATTTTTAAAATAAATCAAAAATCAAAAAGTCAACACAATCAAAAATACGGAACGGATATGGAATGGAAACGGAAGGTATAGTGAGAATCAACCTGTATTCCTTCATTAAACTGTATCTTTTCTGATGCAGTATAATGGAAATTCCCAGAATTGAAATTTGAAATGTTTCTTATGATTTATTTTTCAGATATGGAAATGTTTCAACAAATTTTCGACGAAGTCAAGACTCACCCAAGTTGGTTTATCATCACAGCTTCCTTTTTGGTGATCTCGGCTCTGAGCATCTACCTTTGTTACAAAAAAGACACCTCCGAAGCCAGAATAATCAGTGAAAATGATGACACGGTCGTCTACAGTCCCGTGGGGGAGTTTAGATTCTTTTCCGGGGACGAATTTGAGGACTCCAAGTTATAAAAAGGAAATATAGCTCAAAAGAAAATGATATTGATATGGCTGTGAAGTGAGAATCGAAGACTTTCGAATGATTATCTCGAGTATTTTTTGTATAATTTTTAAGAAAGATATTATATCCTTTTTTCAAAATTTATCCAAGTAACATTTTAAAAGACCATTTCCTAATAATATATTATTAGCTTTCCTAAAAGTATGTAAAATAAGTCATTTCTAGTCTTTCAGTAATTATTGGAAATGCAATATTATTATTAAATTGGAATTTCTTAATATTTAACTTACAAAGAAATATATCGATAAGTTTTCCCCTTTTTTAGTGTTTTATCAAAGAATAAATATACTCACTCACTATTTATAGTTTGTTCTGGATATAGATAAGTACCAGGGCAATGCAAACAAAAAAGATTGGACTTAATCATTGACTAAGAATAATATTATTGCTTCTTAATTAATAATTATTGGGTTATATTAGTTTCACTTATCACACTAATTTGTATTAATTTTGATAAATGTTATAAAGTAATTAATGTTGTAAACACTAATCTAAAGAGTTAACTTTTTTTTTTAATTAATATACACTCAAGTGCAAAAAACACAACGGAAAAATTTTTGGTTAAGTTTAAAATGTTATATTTTTTTATTTTTAGCCCTATTTTCTTGATTTTCTTAGCTAACTGTATATAAATATATCAACTTTAATACATGACCTCAGTTTATTATAAACTTTAGTATTTGACTTATTATAAGGGTTAATCGAAGAGTTGTTTTTTAATAACCTATCTTTAAAACACCCTGTGCCACAAACATTTTGCAATTTTTTCAATTATTGTTACTTTTGGATGTTATTCTTCATAGTGACGAGGTGGCTTTGGTGATTGTTGTGTATGATTGAATATGGTTCTTCGAATATTACGCAAATGTCACTGATCTTGTTGAATTGTACTAATATTTATTAAAACAAAGTAGTACGAGAGCTAGCAACGTCGAAAAAACAAGTATTTTAAGACGTCTGGCTCTTTGATATAAAAGATATATCAAAGAGCCAGACGTCTAAATTAATAAAAAATATAGGATCTTCTTCCGATTCGCAGTAGTGAACGCAATGGGTATCGGCAGACAGACGGGCCGCATGCTGTTCCAGAGAGCACAGTAAAAGATATATCAAAGAGGGCCAGATGTCTTAAAATACTTTCTCGAAAACGTTGCTAGCTCTTAGACTAAAGCCTGTATCGTTACTTTCTAACGTTTTTTAAGTTTTAATATAGAGTTCTAATCAGTGTCTATATGACATTACGAAGTCACCAAAGTCACCTAGAGATATTAAAAAAATATATCATAAAGTAATGATTTGATGAAAAAATGATGAAATTTGGAAATTGTTAGTGGCAAGTTCATTTCCAATTAATCTCACTTTTAAAAATTAACCTAGGCATGTGTTGACATGTGTCAAAAAAGAAAATGCTCAAGAGACATCATGGTTCTGAACGAAAAATAATGTTTTAAGAAAAGTTACTCACGAAATTATCGCCAGGTGGTTTTAAAGTTAAGGTAAAAAACAATCTTTCAATTAACTATAATAAATAATAATAATAACTGCTAAAGTTTACAAAAAGCTGAGTTTATGAATTAAAGTTGATAGATTTATACACAGTTTGATAAAAAATTAATGAAAATGGGGCTAAAAGTAAAAAAATAAAACACTTTAAACTTGACGAAAAAATTCTCCCTTGCGTTTTTTTTTCATCCGAGTGTATATTAAACAAAAGAGATCCCTTTATTAATGGTTTGAAGGTAATATAATCTAAAGTTTAAACCATTCTTAAAAAACTAATGTAATTTTTTTTAATCTCTTTGTTGTATATCAGGAAAAATTGAATCTTGCAAGCTTTTTTTTAAATTTTGTTTAAGTAGAATTCGAAATATTTTTTTAAAGTTAGTCTAAAACTATTATACAAAAAAAGAAACTATTTTATTATAATAAACCTTTTATTAATAAATTGTTGTATTTGACTGATCTTTCGAGAAAAACATGCTGTATCCCTTACACAAATTCAACAAAGTATAATACAAATCTTCTGTATCGTATTCCGCATTTCTTCTGCTTCTACTGATACTATCAAAGGGTTGTCTATAACCAAAACTTCCTATATTACTATTCACCCTTATAGGACGTTTTTTCTTCTTTTTCTTCTTGTGAAGCTGCGCGTTAATCATAGCCGACATTATTTGAGTTGTATTGGGGTCATAAGGATAGTTGTAGTTTTTGGCTTTGATTGCCATGACTACCAAATAGAGCAAATAACCGCCAAATGCTAAAAAGGCTAATGTGGTTACAGAGAATTGAAATATCGTCGATATGTCTTTTTTGTGGTAGTCTTTCTTGCCATCTTCGTAGTCGTATGAATGGTATAGTCCTGTTCTACGAGTATTTGGAGAGTAGTGAAGGGCTAAAGGCTCAGGAACCCCTACAAAATTGATATACAACGTCCGTCAATAATGCGTCGGGCGTCTGTAGCTCCTACAAAAAAACTTGAGGATTTTGTAGTATATTTATTAGGATGTATTGATTTGTTAAGATTTTTGTAGTGTATTTATTAGGATGTATTTCAGAAAAATATTTAACATCTTTTTAACAGGGCGGCTCAAAGAAGTGTGGAATGGAACACCCTGTATGTTATTGTATTTTTGGCTTCCTTTCTGATCACTTTACATAATCCTAACATATTATTAAATATGTTTCCACAGTTTCAGAAATATTAATAAATAAATTTAAAAAAAATCAGTTTTTTTTTAAATTATTGAAAAACCAGAAATGTCCTGAAATCAAAACTTGGTATATTTAATATAGTTGATCTGTATTTACTTTGCTATAAATATCGGAATCTTAAACCACACAGGGTGTTCAAAACTCTAGCCAAACATTCTAAAATATAAAACAATGTTTCTTGTTTTTTTATTATATCTTTGTTAGATAGGGTTAGATATAGACTTTGGTTAGATGGAGAACATTTTTTGTATTTAAACTATTTTAAATTTTTAGCGGTTTTGCAAATATTTGCGTTTTTATTACATATGGCTCTTTCAACGGTAAAATACGAGACCAAAATCATTAGGTGGCTTTGATAAAAAATTACTGTTGAAAACCCCATATGTAATGTAATATTACGAATATCCGCAAAACCGTTAAAAATGTTGAAATACTTTAAATACCAAAAATGTACATTTTTTAATTCTCAATCTAACATAGAAATGATATAGAGTGTGTTCCATTTAAAAAAAAATGAAGAAAAACTTTTATATTTTAGAAAGTTTGGCATAGAATTTTGAATACCCTGTATGGTTTAAGATTACGAAATTTATAGGAAAGTAAGTATAGACCAACTATAGTAAATACCTAGTATAGCTTTGATTTCAGGACATTTCTTGTAATTTTAATAAATGTTTTGAAAAAGGCTTAAAAATATATTTTTTATTTACTTATTTTATTAATATCTCTGAAACTATTAAAACATATTTAATAATACTTTGGGATTATGTAAAGTGGTCAGAAAGGAAGCGAAAAATCCACTCACACTTTTTTGAGCAACATGGTAGAAGTTAAAAGATTTTCCTGAAATACAACCAAATACAAACTTTAGGTCTGTGCTTAAAGTTAATTTACTAACTTTTTTATTATAGGAGCTACTGATCCCTTACGATTAAAATTGGCTGTTTAAGATTTCTTAAAAATTAATACAACTTATAATTACTTCAATAAAAAAAAATAGTATCTTCTTATTCAAGTTCAGCTAGGGTCAACCTGTATGTGCATACCTTCTAGTGCTGAATCTGTTCGATCATTGCTACTGTTTTTTGGTTTATCATTATCTTCAAAAACTCTCAAATTTTTCTTTAAACTTAACAAAGAATCCAATGGCAATTCACTCAAAGATTCGACATCAACTAGCGAAGAGAAATCTTGACAATTCGTTTCGTAAATTACAAGAACAAATATATAGTTATAAACAAGTATGCTCAACATGTCGTACAATAAATAAGAAAAAAAATGGTCATCAGTATCAAAGTATAAGATTATATTAATTATATGGTGAACTGATATGTAAAAAATAACATTAGATGGGTTTACGTTAACAGCACCCATAGTTTTTGGCGTTATTTTTTTTTCTAAAAAATATTCTTTTAATATTATTTTACTTGATATTTATTATAAAGACTTAAATAATATTTAACAATAAGATAACTTTACCTGCCGGTATAAAAGCCGGCGGCCGTGGCCTACAGGGGGCAGTTATAAATATACAGTTGGCGCGCTAAAATTCAAAATAAATTCTTAGTTATAAATCGTTTGTAAATAGTTCTATAAGTCGTTTATCGTTATTAGTTTTATTAATTAGTGTTAAATAAATAGTGTTTAAATAAATTGTGACTTTCTATCCACACGGAACCGACGAAAAACGTAACAATACAAATGAAACGACTATTTTTTCACCTTGTACTCTGAAAAAAATGTTAGTAGGCACCTCAAAAAATGCTCTCTAAATATGAGCTCTTAATTCTAATAGGAAGGTCTTCCGCCTTTATGTTTTCTATTTTCCCTTATTATTAGAAAGAAAAATGCATATCTCGGTTTCTGCTATTTTTGAGGTGTCTACCAACCTTTTTTTTCAGAGTTCAGAGTATATGTATATAGTGAAAAAGAAATAGTCGATTTTTTTGACCCACCCTAATATAGAAGTTCTAAAATTATTTATCTATATATAGATTTAGTAATGATAAATTAATCATCCTATGCTACTAAAAAGTGAAACAGATCTGACTGATAAAATTAATTTTTCAAAGCTTCTCAGAAGATGAACTACACTATTATAGACAGAAGAGTGCAATTGCTGAACTTGAATATCCTTGTATATAAATTTTTAGTAGTTTTAATAGTAAAAATTGGCGCCGGGAGGCGTCAATGTACCTTGTAAATAGTTCAGTTGTTAATAAAAAGTTGGTAGGCAGTTCTTTTAGTTCGGTTATTTTCCCTCTCCGCCACCTGGGGTCGCGTCCGATGGGAGTTTGGAGTTCTCCACACGGATTTTCTCAAAAACGGACTACGGAAACACGGAATATCTCAAAAACTGCAACTTTGAGTGATTTTGATGTTAGGTATTACAAATTATGTTGCAAATATTATTCCTAATCTTAAATTGAAGACCGCGTTTCGCTAGCTACTGTAATTTTGGAGTTTTTTGGAGGAAAACGATTTTTTTACGAAAAAAAAAACAGACAGACAGACAGACAGACTATTTTTTTTTCGTAAAAAAATCGTAACTCCAAAATTACAGTAGCTAGCGAAACGCGGTCTTCAATTTAAGATGAGGCTACAATGTGATTTGATTTAGCAATAGCTACTACAGCTGCTGCACTCTACAGGGTGTTACAAAGTTCGGGCAAAAAACTTCGCCTTATTGTTGTGCCCTGCATATGCTCAAAATAAATTCGAAATAAAAATGTCTGCCGTAGCATCCGTTAAAAATGAATTAATATACAATTAAAAAAATCATCAAAATCTAATTAGTGGTTCGCGAGGAATCCAGCTTTGAAATTGGGACTAGTTTTTAGTGGCTGTTTATTTTTTGCCGGTGAGTATATATTATTTTTATTTACCTTTTCTAGAGGCTGTAACTTCTTTGGGGAGCATTTTGATATGCCCCAAAGTTCATAGAAACTTTTTGTTTTATTTTTATCTGTAAAATCAGTCACCCACCGAAGTTAGATACACTATTTTTTGACACCTTGTATATAGACGCCATTTTTTATATCCACGAATTTATTTAATTAAGTCCAGTTAATGTTAAAATAAATTCGATTATTTAAAATCTACAAAATAAAATAGTCGGGAAGTCGCCTTTGATTATAAACTTAAAGACTCTTGTGTGATTTTTTTCTGTTGGTGCAATCCTTTTCATCTTATAATCAAGCTATTACAATACTTACAGAGCTAAATACCGTAAACTCTACACTTACCCGACCGAAAAAACACCACGGGACCGCTATAATGTCCTATACCGCAATGAAATGCATTTCCACTTAAACAAATGTAAAACTGCATTTTTCTCTACCTCAGAGTGAACGACAATGAACAAATTCATTTTTATATTGATTGTTTCGTGCCTGAGCACGATAGACAGCAAAAATCAAAACACTTTCTTTGATAGTTTGTTCGATAGAATCAGGCTCGGATTTGGCAAGTTTCAAAATATCGATAAAGCTGCTCGAGTTGCTGACTTGGTGAGTCAAGCGTTTGGAAGCGGTGTTAAAACTGATTCAGTACGACAAGAAGAAGAGTCTGAAGATGGTTTGAAAGAGCCTAATATTTTAGTTAGGTTTTTAAAAGTTCTGGGAATCAATAGCAAGAAAATCGGAGTTATTACAGTGAACGTAATAATATTTATTGCACAGCTGGTAAGTGGAGAGGTTTTTGATTCATAAACTTAAATATGGCCAGAGAAATTTTGAGTACACCACGATTATTTTTAATACTCGTATATATAACAGTTTAAGGAATAATATGTTTTAAATTCAAAATAAAAATATTTGAAGTGAAACTATACTTACAACTATTAAATTGGAGGATTTGAAGGACATGTTTGAAAAAGTGACATACAGAAAAGTCCACAGACTTTGAGACATAAGAAAATCAAATCCATTTAGCGCGTGTCCAAATTTTGACAAGTCTTTAAAAATGAGTCACTGTAATTTTCCCTATAGCTTGAAAATGTTTAAGTGCAAGTTAGAAACACTTGCATTTTTGGTAAAAATAAGTGGAATTGAGTTGGTGTTCACGTCAGTAGTCGCGCTATTAGAACTCTGAATTCAGTATGAATCGATATCTCAAAATCTATTAAAAACAATTGATTGTAGTTTTTTCAAAACTTTCTTAACATTTCTGCTATATTTTCTTCGCAGACAGTATGTGAAAATATTTATTAATAAAAAAGTTACACGATTGCTGAAAATTGCTATGCACTAAAAGTAAAAAGTTTAAAATTTTTGAATGGAAAAAAACAACCTTATCGAGTTTTTCTTATTTAAACACATTGTCAAAGATCCGATCTTCAAAATAAAAAAAGTTTCCATATCTAAAGTGGTTCTTAAGTTATGGCATGTTATGTGTTAAAAAGTTGAGTTTTTAAATTATCGCGATTACTGACGTTTTATCATTATAAAAAATAGACACTCTAACGATATCCTTATAATTCCATTTCAGATGCTCAGAAATATATCTAATGATTTTATCTAGTTACTTTTTCGAAAAAAAGTGTTAAAAATAAGCGGTTTGCGATCATGGTTTTACTTTACTTGATATAGGGAAAGGCGTACCGGCAACAACGCAAGAGCACACCGCCGCATTTCTCTCACTCCGACTTAATAAGATCCCTATGCGATTTACTTCCACACATGGAAATACCGACCCAAAAATAACAGTTGCTAGCACGGTATAATTTGAATTGAGTACTTTATTTAAATATTGCCACTACCCCTCCCAGACTCAATTTCTAGATGCGCCACTGGTCACACCTAATATTTCATTAACCTAAACATTTTCTTTTCCAAAACACTGTTATTCGATGACAAAATGTAACGTCAATCAGACAGTTCTGATAATGTTCACAAAATCATTTCCATTTCCAAACTGAATCTTATCACATTTCTGTTTATATTCATTTTGATTTTTTTCTTCTTCTTTAATATCACGGTTTTTATTGATCTGGTATATTTATATTCGTTTTTCTAGCTTTCCAAAACACTACTGAACAAAGCATCAGTATCGAAATCAACATCTCCCAACCAGGAAGAATTAAGAAATGCAAAAAATGGAGATCCATTTTCTTGGATCATGGAGAAACCCGAAGTTCGTAATATAATAAATGAAGCCCTCAATCCTAAATTGCCAGAAGAAATTATCAAATATATTAAAGAACGATCAATGGATGAAGAAACTGGCTGTGTCCAAATGTTAATATGCAAAGTATCACCCATTATTCGCGGAATGCAAAAAGCTCTGAATTTTACGGAGAACTATCTACATAAAGACCAAAATGCAACTGTCCAGAAATTTGTTTTTTCCGAATATTTTCCGAAAGTGGATGAAATGTTAAAGCATAGCTGGGAATGTGAAGATAAATATCATTTTTGTTTTTATGATGATTTGTGATAATTTAAAGTAAAGCGAATTAAATATTAAAAAAAATGATATTTTTAATTTCAATTTTAATTTTTTTTATCATACCGAAGTTGACAGGTTTAAAATTTGCAAATAATTTAAAGACAACTACCGACTTTTAATAGTATATTAAACAAAGATATTAAACAACGAGTTTTGAAAACGACGTTTTGCACACGAGTTCGACAGTTTGTTGGCTCGAGCCGCAGGCAAGAGCCACAAATCGAACGAGTGTACAAAGAAGTTTTCGAACGAGTTTTTTACCACAAATCGAACGAGTGTACAAAGAAGTTTTCGAACGAGTTTTTTACGCTATTTTTTCCATGACTACAAATTAGCAGCAGACCATAGATAAAAGAAAATAATCTACTATGCAGCAGACTCACTCAGTTTTTGTCAGTTTTATGAAATAATTTGCGATGTATGATGACACTTTTCTGACGGCTGCGTTGCGTTTGGCGTTTCAGCTAAACATTGAAGGTTAAAAATGTTAAAATTGACACATGTCGTGTGCACTAAGACACATGTCGTGCCAGGGTCGGATACAGAAATTTTTTTTAGGGGGGGCCAAAATAAAAAGCAATGTAGAATATGCTTTTTAGGGTACCATTTTTACCCAAAAACCTAATATTTTACACAATTTCCAGATTTTAGGGGGGGGCGGGCCTCATGGGCCCCCCCTCTGTATCCGCCACTGTGTCGTGCGCTAAATCCTTAGCACACGACAGTTTGCAAAACGCCAATTTCAGATCGACTTTTCCTTGTGTCAAACTGCATTTCTAGGCTAGTCGTAGAAAAAAGTATGTACGAGAATATATTTTAGGCTTTATTTCAGGAAAATATTTTAACTTTTTAGGGTGGCTCAAAAAAGTGTGAATGGATCGGGATGATTTTTTTTAAATGAAACCCCCAATATATTATTGCATTTTTGGCTTCCTTTCAGATCACTTTACATAATTCTAAGATATAAGTAAATATATTTTGATAATTTCAGAGATATTAATAAATAAATAAAAAATATATATTTTTCAAGCTTCCTTAAAAAAATATTACAAATACAAGAACTGTCCTGATATCAAAACTATATGTTAGGTATTTACTTTTATACTTTTGCTATAAATATCGTAATCTAAAATCATACAAGGCATTTGAATTCTACGCCAAATTTTCTAAAATATACAATATATATTTTTTTAATAGAACACCCTGTATATTATTTTTTTATTAAATGGTTAGCCAGAAAATAAACATTTTTTGTATTTAAAGTATTTCAAAATTTTTAATGATTTTGCATATACACGCAGTATTATTTCATATGGCTCTTTCAACGGTAAAATACGAGAGAAAAATTATTGGGTGGCTTTGATAAAAATTTACTGTGGAGAATGGTATACCTATGAAATATAAAACAGCGAATATTTGCGAAACCGTTAAAAAAAATTAAATACTCTAAATACAAAAAATGTTTATTTTTCAATGTTCCAACTATTGAATTAATAGTATATACGGTGTTCCATAAAAAAAACAAAGAAACATTATTTTATATTTTGGTCAGTTTGGCGTAGAATTTTGATCATTCTGTATGATTTACAACTACCATATTTATAGCAAAGTTAGTATATAAGCATAGCATATACCGTGCTAGCAACTGTTACTTTTGGGTCGGCATTTACATGTGTGGAAGTAAATCGCATAGGGATCTTATTAAGTCGGAGTGAGAGAAATGCGACCGACCGACGCGCCGCGCGATGGTGTGCTGTTGCCACCTGTTGGTGCGCGCGGCGTTGCCGATACGCCTTTCCCTATCAAGTAAAGTAAAATCACGATCGCAAACCGCTTATATTTAAAAGACTTTTTTTTCAAGAGATAACTAGATAAAATCATTAGACATGTTTCTGAACATCTGAAATGGAATTATAAGGATATCGTTAAGGTGTCATTTTTTTATAACGAGAAAACGTCAGTAATCGCAATAATTTAAAAACTGAACTTTTTAACACATAACAGGCCATAACTCAAGAACCACTTTAGATATTAAAACATTTTTTTATTTTCAATGTCGGATATTTTACCATATATTTACATAAGAAAAATTCGATAAGGTTGTTTTTTCCATTCAAAATTTGTAAACAATCCATCCATTTATTTTTAGAGCATAGCAATTTTCAGCAATCGTGTAATTTTTTTATTGATAAAGATTTTCACATACTGTCTACAAAGAAAATACAGCAGAAATATTAACAAAGTTCCTGAAAAAACTACAATCTATTATTTCTAATAGATTTCGAGATATCGAGTTTTGAATTCAGAGTTCTAATAGGGCGACCACTATCGAACACCCACTCAATTCCACTTATTTTTACCAAAAATGCAAGTGTTTCTAGCTTGCACTTAAAAAAATTCAAGCTATAGGGAAAATTACAACGACTCGTTAATAAATAAACAAATTAAGTATCACGAGACGTAATTAAATCGTGAAGCTGAACGCATGACGTACACCTTTCCCTAGAACTTTAAGTACTGACTACTGACAGAGGCATTGATTGGGTCGACCGGTCAACTGCGACAAATCTGCTATAACCCCCTTCTACGTCTCTTGGCGATGTGCACAGTTTCTCGGTTTATTTCATACGTTTGGCAACGTGTTTACTGTCCTCTCTTTGTTCAGTACATTATAAACGCATTGTACTCTTCTTACATACGGAAATCTCGACCCAAGACTAACCTTTGCCAGCCCTTAGTATATAGCATTAAGTACAGACTATCTAAAGAAAATACCTAATATAGTTTCGACTTCAGGACAATTCTTGTATTTTTAATAATTTTTATAAGAAAGGCTGAAAAATATGTATATATTTTTTATTTATTTATTAATATCTCTGAAACGTCATATCTTAAGATTATGTAAGGTGATCTCAAAAAAGTAATAATATACAGGGTGTTCCATTAAAAAAAATAATCCCGATCCACTCTTTTTTCTCACGACTTTTTTGAACCACCCTATAGAAGTTAAAATATTTTCCTTAAATGCATCCTATTACATACTTTAGATTTGCACTTAAACAAAATTCCAGAAAGTTTTTTATCTTATGAGTTTTTTACAGATGCCCGACGCACTATTGCCAGACCGTATACTGTATGTTTTGTTGTTTGTTTTATAAGTGATTTCAGCTTAAAAAAAGTTCATCCAAGCCTTTTTTGGTCATTTCATCTTGAAAACGATACTTTTTTTTAAATTTATTTATATATGGAAAATATATTTTGAGACCAAAAATGTATGCAAAACGAATAAAATTAAAACCACTTTCTTGGATTCCTCGAACAAAGAGCGCGATTCGATCGTATTAATTACAAATGTCGTTAATCGCACTCCCTATAATATTCCTTCGTGTTTCTGCTTCCTTCTCCACGGTCGTACCAAGTAGTCGAGTCGTTCGTACCAGCAGCCAGATGCATCGTAAATACTTGAAAATATCATTTTACACTTTATTACGGCTTTTATGGACGTTATTAATAATATTATGATTACACTTTATTAGAAACGTGGCCGTGCGCGAGTGTGTGCATGTTTTATAGTATCGAGATTAATTTTTACGATGGTGTGGACTTCTGGTCTTGGTGCAACTGCAATCGCTTTTTTCTTTAGTTTGTTTTGTTCGCATTTTCCACGACAGGGTCTATTATTATTTTAATAGGCGTGATAATTTATTTCTTTATTACAATAAGCATACAAAGAATTCGTTTCTCCTTCCTCTAGGAGACGCGAGACCTTGTCGTTGGTGGGGAAAGTCCTAGGTCCGAGCCAGGTGCTAAGGGGAATCCCCTCTAGTACTTTAGCTAAGTCTCTTTTTTTGTGAGGATGGTAAAAAAAATCTTCATAGACGCCTGGTCCCTTGACAAACTGCACTGGAACTGCTCACGCATTACTTCGGCGCAGATGCTATATTAATAGACATCGGTCATTCTTCAGCCCTTCGTTGATCAAGCTCTTTCTGTCGTAGTATTTGTGATATAAACGCCACGGAAGCGTTCCATGTAGAATGTAGAATGTTTAGGAGGGGAGCTAATCACCGCGCCCTTATAGATCTATTGTGTTCTCCCCTTTCTTGAGTTATAACGAGTTATAACTCATCATACAGTAGCAGCCAGTATCTGAGACGGCTCCACAGAGTGACTTGACATCAGCCGTACCAAAGTTCATGGCACGAATGGTCGTCGTCTCGGCGCACTCAGTGATATGGTGATACACTACAGTTCTGGTGTTTCCCCATTTTCCCCACAGAATCTGCATTCGCCGTTGTTTCCCAGCTTCAGCCTACTGAGGTGTTCGTTGAGGAGACAGTGTCCTGTTAGAAACCCCGTGGACAATCCAAAGATTGTTTTTACTTAAATCAAGGAAAACCTTTGATTTTTTGTTACTGAGTTGATCGCGTTAAGTGCTGCTTGACTATAGGATAGGATGACAATCTCCTGTTTTCGATAGTTCCTATCTAAGATAAATTGTACGCATCTTTCGATAGCGTAAATTTCTGCCTGAAGGATACTGGGGTAGGTGCCCATCGATTCGGAGTATTTAGTTTTCGGCCCAAACACTCCTATCCCTGTCCCTGCTTTGGTTTTGGAAGCATCAGTATACCACGTTATGGTATGTTTTTTTTCTGGTATGGTAATCTTTGTCTTTCACAATAGGCAGTCCGAAGTTATCTCAATTCGACCGTATTGGACCTGTACATTTTTGAAGATGCGCTGCCGGCTTTCGACATTGTTGGGGTGAGTGTTGCGGGTGATGGGGGTGTTCTGTATGTGTTTGCAGTTTACTTTCAGCCTAACACTTCAGTTGAGCATTTTCATGTATTTTTTGATGTTTTTGAGTCCTTAACATTTCTCTAAGGACGCGACATAATCTTATTAGGCGATTTCAATATTCATTTTTCAGATTCACCTGCTGAGACTTGTCCAAAACTTCAGCTTTTAAACGATTTTCTCGCTTTTTTTGATTTTAAGCAATGTAATAGAATTCAAAATCAAAA